AGATCAGTTAAACTAAAAAGAAATTATAATAAGTCATGAATTGAATCCCATGTGTCTAATAACAAATATATTAAAAACAAGTGATTTCTAGATTTGAGAAAATTCTTTGCAGTTTCTAATTCTCAAGACAGACCATCTAATAAAAGATATCCATGTTCCGGCTTATGTGAAGAGAAGCATCTTAAATATATTGAATGAGTTGGTGGTTTTACAATATCTGGTGGAGCCCCACTTGCCAAAGTAGTAGCACAAGAACTTTTTCCGGACAAGTTTACAAAAGATACAAAATTTTCTTATTCAAAGCTTAATTCCAATCAATCAAAAAGACTTAATGATGAACTATCAGCAAGATCTAAATAGAATATTGATCAAAAAGATTTATATATACATAGCTCAGAATGTGAATTTATACTGACCGAATTGAACGAGTATGCATGAAATGTATTTTACTTACAAAGGATCCAGTTTTTAAAGTAAATTTTGATTATTTGAATCTTTTTTTTTATATATAGTATATTTATTTATTTGCTATATATCTTATAGAATGCACTTTCTAAGCCCATACCAAAACCAGAAAATAGACGCTTTACACCAAAATTATATTTTAAAAACAATCCAATTTTGAAATTTCTTGGAGATCTACACATAAAAGAACTCTGGACTTCAGTTTCTAATTTTAATAAAAATAACTCAGTACCATTTTGGTTAAAATTAGCTGAGAAAGGTTTAAACGGAGCATTTGAATCAAAGTCTATATTTAAAGGACTATGTGAAATAATGATACAAATAGCTCAGTGTAAAGATCATAGCAAAGGTATTCAAAATTTGAAATATTCTGAAAATATTACCCACTTTATGGCTGTACTTTCTAGCCTAAGCCCAAAAGCGTATGATTTTTTTCAAGCCAATTTGGCAGGACAAACGCTATGAAATATTAGGTATTAAATTATTATTTTTTATGATATTAAAATTTTTAATATCATAGGTTATATAATATTAAAAATATCTTATATAGGCTCTTGCGTCAAAAATCTGGAGAGTATATGTCTGATACAAGTATATGTTTAGAAAATATGGCACACTTTAAAAGATTAGCTGATTCTATAAACTATGATAGGCCAGTTATCGCAATGACTGATAATATTAAGGTTTATTCTCGTCTTGGCTATTCTGCAAATTTTGGGTGTATTATTGGTTCTATTTTTTCACTTGATCAAACTCTCATTAATGATTATAATGAGACAGAATCAGTTATTCAAAGTATAATTTCGAACAATGCAATAGCAAAGCAAGTTCGTTTGTATTTACTTCAAGTAAGTACTTATAGAGCTTTGAATTTATAATTTACTAGATTCAAAGATGCAAAGTTTAGTTTTTTTTAACTATTACTTAAATAAATCATCGAATTTAAGATACCATTACCAAAGTTTCTACCAGTTGTAATCGGGTTGATTCCAAATAATAGAAATGAAACATCTGCACGAATACTAAAAATACATGAAAAAGTGCTAGAGATAGCTCAACAACTTTCAATTCACATAGTTTCAATAGGAGCTGACGGTGCTATTTCAGAATTTAATGCTCAAAAGCATTTAATGTCCAAAAATACTAGATTGACCAAGAGTTTTCATGATCTAATATATAATATAAACTTTATCTGTTCAGTTTTTCCTGGAGTAGGACCAGTAATTCGAGTTTTAGATCTGTTGCATGCCCAAAAATCTGCACGAAACGCACTGTTTTCTGGTGTACGATTACTTACTTTAGGAAATTATATAGCAATGTATGATCAAGTATTAGATATGTGTAAACAAGATGATAGCATTTTGTATAAAAAAGATGTTATTAATTGTGATCGCCAAGATGATGGTGCTAGCTATCATCTTTTCTATTCCTCACTTCTTAATCAAGTTATGAATTCAAATATTTCTAACGATATTTGCTGTGGACTTTTTGTTTATTTGTTTGTAATTGGTAAGTTGCTAATTTATTTATACCGTATAAGCACAAAATAACACTCAGGAGCGTTATTTTGAATTTTAGTCTAAATTAAGCTTAATTTAAGCCAAATTCGAAATTATATCCCTGCGTGTTATTTCGTGCTTATACAGTATTAATATTTTTTAACAATTATTAAAGTTTAAAAAAATTTTATATTTTATTAGGCGAGTTAATTGATGCATATCAAAACAGAACAATATCACATGTAGAAAGAGCTCGAATGGCTATGATGGCATATTTTTTTCTTAAAATTTGGAAATCATATATTGTATCAGTTGGATTAGCTAATCCTAATTATATTAGTCTTAAAAAAAATTTTCTCGCAACACAAACTTTTAATATTTTGACAAGTTTAGCAGAATCATTAGTAAGAATAATAAATATGTATTTGTTAATTTTTTTTTACAAAATATTATTGTATTAATTTTTATTTATTATTAAATTCTTTTAATTATATTATAT